TAGCGTGCTGGCACGTAACGCGCTGGCGCTTAGCGCGCTGGCGCCTAGCGCGCGGGCGCCAAGCGCGCTGGCGCCTAGCGCGCTGGCGCCAAACGCGCTGGCGCTTAGCGCGCTGGCGCCAAACGCGCTGGCGCCAAGCGCGCTGACGTTCAGCGCGTTGGCGCCTAGCGCACTGGCGCCTAGCGCGCTGGCGCCTAGCGCGCTGGCGCCTAATGCGCAGGCGCCTAGAGCACTAGCGCCTAACGCGCTGGCGCCTAACGCGCAGGCGCCTAGAGCGCTGGCGCCTAACGCGCTGGCGCCTAGCGCGCTGGCGCCAAACGCGCAGGCGCCTAACCCGCAAGCGCCTAGAACGCTGGCGCCTATCGCGCTGGCGCCAATCCCGCTGGCGCCAATCCCGCTGGCGCCAATCCCGCTGGCTGGCGCCTATTGCGCTGGCTAGCGCCTATCGCGTTGGCACCTAACACGCCGGCGCCTTACGCGCGGGCGCCTATCGCGCTGGTTGTCGCCTATCGCGTTGGCTGTCGCCTATCGCGTTGGCTGGCGCCTATCGCGCTGGCTGGCGCCTATCGCGCTGGCTGGCGCCCATCGCTCTGGCTGGCGCCTATCGCGCTGGCTGGCGCCTATCGCGCTGGCGCCTATCGATCTGGCGCCTATCGCGCTGCCTGGCGCCTATCGCGCTGCCTGGCGCCTATCGCGCTTGCTGGCGCCTATTGCTATGGCTGGCGCCTATCGCGCTGGGTGGCGCCTATTGCGCTGGCGCCTATCGATCTGGCGCCTATCGCGCTGGCTGGCGCTTATCGCGCTGGCTCGCGCCTATCGCGCTGGCTGGCGCCTATCGCGCTGGCTGGCGCCTATTGCTATGGCTGGCGCCTATTGCTATGGCTGGCGCCTATCGCGCTGGGTGGCGCCTATTGCGCTGGCGCCTATCGATCTGGCGCCTATCGCGCTGGCTGGCGCCTATCGCGCTGGCTGGCGCCTATCGCGCTGGCTGGCGCATATTGCTATGGCTGGCGCCTATTGCTATGGCTGGCGCCTATCGCGCTGGGTGGCGCCTATTGCGCTGGCGCCTATCGATCTGGTGCCTATCGCGCTGGCTGGCGCCTATCGCGCTGGCTAGCGCCTATCGCGCTGGCCGGCGCCTATCGCTCTGGCTGGCGCCTATCGCGCTGGCTGGCGCCTATCGCGCTGGCTGGCGCCTGGCTGGCGCCCATTGCGCTGGCGCCTATCGATCTGGTGCCTATCGCGCTGGCGCCTATCGCGCTGGCTGGCGCCTATCGCTCTGGCTGGCGCCTATCGCGCTGGCTGGCGCCTATCCCACTGGCTGGCGCCTATCACGCTGGCGCCTATCGCGCTGCTAGCGGCTATCGCGCTGGCTGGCGCTTATCGCGCTGGCTGGCGCCTATCGCGCTGGCTGGCGCTTATCGCGCTGGCTGGCGCCTATCGCGCTGGCCGGCGCCTATCGCTCTGGCTGGCGCCTATCGCGCTGGCTGGCGCCTATTGCGCTGGCGCCTATCAATCTGGTGCCTATCACGCTGGCGCCTGTTGCGCTAGCGCCTGCCGCGATGGCACCTATCGTGCAGCATGTAACATGCTGGCCTCAAGCGTGCTAGTGCCTGTCGCGTTGGCGCCTGCCACGCGATCGCCTAACGCGTTAGCGCCTATCGCGCTATCGCTTAACGCCTTGGCGCCTGCCGCGCTGACGTCTGTCGCGCTGGCGCCCATCGCGCGGGCGCCTTTGGCGCTGGCGCCCAAGGCGCTGGTGCATAACACGTTGGCGCCTATCGCGCTGGCGCCTAGTGTTCCTGTAACTTTGGCAACGGCAACTCTTCCTTAGTCCTCTTGGACACGCCTTAGTGAGTTGTGCTAAGCGCGTTAGCCCTAGGGTGCTCACGCCTTAGGTGTTGGTGCTTTGGGCGCATTGGCGCTTATGGGTGTTGACCCGGCGACGCATGCACCTAGAGCGCTGGCAGTAGCAGCACCATTGGCGTTGATGCCGTGGACAACTTTGTTGTGCTTTTGGAGTTGGCGCGTTTGCGCCTAGAACGCTAGGTGTGTTTTTTGTGCAAATACCTCCCCATTACCATTTTTTCTCCCTTAACGTTCTTCTGTAGGTGATACATCCCGTGCATGTTGAGGTGGTGTGCATGATGCCTTGAAACCATATGTGTGAGTCATCAACTTGGATTTGCCTCCCGAATTCATCCTTCAGCAATCTATTGCATCATTTTGAATAGCACTTTCCATCATGCGTTTTTTATGCAGCGCGCTGGCGCCTTACTGCAGTGCGCTGGCGCCTTGTTGTGGTGCGCTGGCGCCTTACACAATTCACTTCACCCACTCACAGCCGTATATTTCTTGCGTGACCTGTGTTTTGCAGGATGTGCAAGCCGTTTTGTGGGAAGTAGAATGTGGAAGGCGAGGGAAAGATTTGGCAAAACGTGGGGACAAAGAGGGAAGGGGAAAAGGGATGGAAGGGGGAGCAGGCCAGTAGTGATTGTTACGTTAACAGCTTTTTACGACTCTTTGTTATGCTTGTTTGCTCTCTCTCCTCATTGTATGTATGTGTGTGTATATATATGTGCGCCAGTGCATGTGTGTGTATCGTGTGTGTGTGGGTGGGTGTGCTCTGTGTGTGTTAGTTGGTTGTGATTATTTCAGGGTGTGGTGTTGGTATGCATCGTGTTTGCAGCTGAGGTTGTCATCGTCGTTGGCGCAGTGCGTTTTCACTGTCTCAACGACCCCATCAATCTCAGTTGTAGCATTGGTGCATATTAACATCCATTTTGATGTCGTCACAACTTTTTTTTTCGTGGCGTTTGCATTTCGTGTTTGTGTGCTATGCATGTTCCAAGGCGGGGTGTTCCAATGCATCGTGTATGCAACTAGAGGTTGTCATCGTCGTTGGTGCAGCGTGTATTCGCTGTTTCAACGGCCCCATCAATCGCTATTGCTACGTTGATACATTGTAACATTTCTTGAAGCATTCGCATCACACTTCATACCTGTGTTCATTTGTACGAATGCATTCGCTCATGTTGATGCCATGTTCGATCGTACCATCCGCCGTATTAATCGACGAGCTGGGACGGCCGGAAAAAAAACATGGTTTCAACATGATATGTAATTGGTTTCACTTTTGGGAGACCTCATTCATGATTTTTATTCACGATTTGAAGCATTCTCAAGCGGGTGCTCCAAAGAGTGTTGTAATAAAAATCTATGTTGAAATGATATCCCCAAAAGATGAAATCGATTATGTAGGGTTGCTACGCAACCCAAAAATCTCTGTTGAGAAGTACGTGTGACCATGATCCTATTCCTGCACCCAACCTTTGCGAACGGGAAGTACGCCCCTCAGATCGGACAGTTCAATTGATCGAATTGTGTTATGAATAGTGATTTGATGGGGACAGATCTCTTCTGTTTACTGCAGCCGTGGCAAAATCGGGTAGTTTCTGGTCGATCGAGCGCATCCCCGAGATTGCGGATAACGCACGGGTAAAAACATTTACCATCACCGTTCGATTGCTGAATCCAACGGTTTACGTTTCTACCTGGACCTAAATTCCAGCGTGGCGTGTGTAGCCGCTATGTGAGGTGTGCTTGCATCCGAAAATCGTCCACCACTCCATGCCTCCCATCTGGCATGCCCTCATCCACTCTCCTCCGCTCGGCCTTTCACAATCTCCCGCCTAAGCCACGACTGCCACAGCGACAGCCTCCCTCCCTCCATCCCCTTGCGACTCCCATTGTTCCGTTGGCACCTTGGAGTTGGAAACCCCAAGGCTGCTAGGAAACCCCAAGACCCGATTTTCCTTTCAACAGACCCAACACGTTCCTGAGGCTATCTCCTGCCTCTATCCACTCCCAGCAACCTTACCGAACGCCTGCAGCAATGGAGGCTGTTGCTAGGAACGTTGTGTCCTGTCCTTGCGTGGTGGCCGCTGCCAGGACTTCAGAGTCTTTCTCTGCTCGCAGCACCGTTGCTGCGTCAAAGACGACCCTCTTCGGCGGTGCTCGTCGCAATGCTCTCGTCGCCAAGGTGCCAGTGGCTGCTGGCAAGGCCAGCAGGTCTGTCGTCACCATGGCAAAGGCCCCCGCTGCTGCCGGCTACGCAGCTGCCCTTATTGAGCTTGGCCAATCGACCAAGTCCCTTGAGGCCATCCACAAGGACGTGGAGGCCCTCTCTGGTATGATCAACAACGCCGAGCTCGCTAACTTCTTGGCCAGCCCCGTCGCTTCGGACGAGCAGAAGAAGGCTGTGATCAAGAGCCTTGCAGCTGATTCCGGCTTCAACGCTTACACCGCGAACTTCCTGAACGTTCTTGTTGACAAGAAGCGGATGGGCATTTTCAAGGAGATCGCCGCGGTGTTCGAGGAGCTGTACTGCGACATCACCGATACTCAGGTCGCCATTGTGACTTCGGCTGTGAAGCTAGAGAACTCGCAGCAGGCCTTGATCGCGAAGAAGCTGCAGAGCATGACCGGTGCGAAGAACATCAAGCTTAAGAACGTGGTTGATTCGTCGCTGATCGCTGGCTTCATCGTGAAGTACGGCAAGGATGGCTCCCAACTCATTGACATGAGCGTGAAGGGTCAGTTGGATCGCCTTGCGCAGCAATTTGACCTGTCAGACAATGCCCTGTCTGCTGTTTAGGGCCGTATTTGACGATGCTACTCTTTTAAATGTACGAAAGTTAATCGCAGGTATACCATTTGTTCGTAATTCTTGTTATCAGGTGATTGAGCAACCACCAAGTATAATACACAGCTGATGTTCCTTCGGACCCTCCACAAGCATTGTATTCCTGTCTATACCCGATGCTTGTACAGCTGTACTGATCCTGCTAGCTTGGGTTAGCTGGCGCCCAAAAACAGATGTCACCGGTACTTGGTCATCAATGCCAGATAAGAGCCCAAGAAAAGAGCCAGACAGTGAAGATGATTCTTCTACTTCAGATGAAATCATTGCCTTGAGAGTGTATATCACATGCAGGGGTCTACATAAACTGATCGACTATCATGTCTTTCAGCACCTCCATTCTGGCAATCACCGCTGGGTTCATGAGCTTCTTGGCCTCGTCAATCAGCGAGCTCTGCTGCCTGCGCTGCGCATAGTACGCATCCAGCACCTGCTCTATCACCTCCAAGAGCTTCTCCGGTGTTCTGTGCAGAAACAGTAACAGCAGGCAGCAAGCACGAAACAGTACCGTCAGCCCCCGGATAGAAGCGCCCCTGGGGTTATAAAAAAACACGTTTTTTTAGGGGGTGGGCTTATAATCGAGGATTTTTATAAGCGCCGGGGCTTATATAATGGCATATATAATTTTTTTCGTTTGTACACCAAACTGTAGATCCCGTTCTCGTGAGTTGAATCGAGTCAAAACTATACAGGGTTGCGATTGAGAATCTCGCTTGCAAGTTGGCAGGGATTGATTCCCTGCCAACACACACAGTCAGAATGAGTCAACGTGCACCCCTGACAGCTCATTCTGACTGGACGCGCTGGCAGTGAGCCGAGAGAGGGTGAAGGGCATCGAAATTCAAAATGTGGGAATGGAGATGTTGAGTTTCGTTACGATGAATTCAGTAAAATTATAGTTAGAAAAAAAAGGGTGGCGCTTATAATCCGTAAGCCTTCAGGGGTGCGCTTATAATCGAGGACCGGATATAAGCGCCCTCATCCTTTTATAAGCGCCGGCGCTTATCCGAGGCCTGCGCTTCTATCCGGGGGCTTACGGTAAGCCAGACAACCACGAAGTACTGACCAACCAAAGCGCTAACTGCAGAAAGGAGAGGAAAGGGAGCAAAGCTACCATAGAGATAAGGGAGCAAAGTTGTAGGAAAGGGAGCAGAGCTAGCCAGTCAAATTCTGATGCTTACGTGTAGAGCATGTCTTCTGAGGCATTCTGCACTTCCAGTTCTCCACCGGGCGAGAAGGCGTTGGTGAGCTCTGTGAGCTGCTGGCGGGGGTCGTCTATAGCGAGCACGTGGCGCAGGATGCGCACCTCCTTGGGCACGAGCATGCGCATGTTGATCTGCGCCTGCTTGTACAGATGGTACATGATGTCCTTCACCTGGGGGGGGGGGGGTGTGAGGAAAAATAAGTACATGAAGGCACATGGGTAAGGCGTCATGTGCCTGTTGATCTGTTCCTGCTTGTACAGATGGTACATGATGTCCTTCACCTGAGGGCGGTGGTATGGCAGTGTGCACGTATATGAGGGTGAAAAACACAGCAGGCGAAGGAACAGAATGGTGTGGGCTGGAGCACAGGCACATGCAAGTAGATCTGCGCCTGCTTGTACAAACAGATGGTACATGGTGTCCTTCACCACGTGGGTGAGAGGAAGAATGATGGTACATCAAGGCACATGGGTAAGGCATGCGCATGTTGCTCTGCGCCTGCTTATCCATGTGGTGCACGCTGACCTTCCCCAAATGATCGAGAGAAACAGATCGGTAAGGTATGAGGCTCCACCTTTCTCTCTTCATCTCAACCTTTCTCCCTCCCTCTCCCTCCTCTCATCTCCTCACCTAATCCTCCATTGCATCTCCCTCTCGCACCTCATCCTTCATCATGTTGCTCTCCTTGGCAGCAGCCCATGCCTTGGTGATCATGAGCATGAGCGTCGAGTCCAGCTGCTGCCGCGCCGCCAGCTGGTCGATCTTCCCACACGCCTCTGCCAGGCTGGCGCTACCCATGATGTCGTCAAACTTGGCTTGAGCCGCCTCCACCGCCACCTCATCCGCCTCCACCTTATCGTGAATGTCCACCGCTGTCACGCACTTGGCTGCCAGGGATGCGATCTCTGCATGGGGCAACGGGAGATGCGCACAGACAGACATATAGAGAGAGGCAACATTAGAATGAGCTCCCTCCACCGCCACCTCATCCGCCTCCACCTTGTTGTGAATGTCCACCGCTGTCACACACTTGGCTGCTAGGGATGAGATTTCTGCAATGGATAATGGGAGATATGTACAGACAGGTAGAGAGAGGTAGAGACAGGTTGAAACAGGTAAAGAGAGTCAAACTTGGCCTGTGGCGCCTCCAGAGCCACCTCATCTGCCTCCACCTTGTCGTGAATGTCCATCGCTGTCACACACTTGGCTGCCAGGGATGCAATCCGTCCATGAGGAAAGAAAGGGGAGACGGACAGGTACAGGCAGGTACAGAATGGTCGATCTTCCCACACGCCTCTGCCAGGCTCACTCCCCACGATGTCGTCAAACTTGGTTTACGCGGCCTGCACTGCTGCTGCCTCATCTACTTCGACCTAGTCGTGAATGTCAACTGCTGTTACACACTTGGCTGCCAGGGATGCGATCTCTGCACATGGAAAGGGGGGGTATGTAACGTAGGGACAGGTGCAGTGCAGCCAGGTAGAGTAGACACAGGTAGAGAAAGTGAGGGTGAAGCTTGTCCTCTTGCTGTGAAGATGCAGGCACAGCAGGTGCACGGACACGACATGGCCTGCAGTTGCTGAACACTACTCCCAAGTAAGATCCCCTTTGAAGTGCCACACACACCCCATCTCGCCACCCACCGTCCTGCCATCAGTGGGTTGTCATGCATGGCCTGGCACAGCCTCTGCAGGTGCTCAAAGGACTCCGCCCCTTCACTCTCACTCACTCTTCTACCACTCACATCACATCTCACCCTTGTACCACTCACAGTGCTGTCGCTGCGGGTTGTCACGGCTGGCGTGACACATGATCTGCAAATGCTCAAAGGATCACCCCACGGAGTTCTTTTTAAGCCCCGTGCAGACTCAAGAAGTGTCCCTCACCTCGCCCTGCACCCCTCATCTTCTCACCGTCCTGCCTCTGAGGGTTATCATGGTCGGTCTGGAACATGATATGCAGATGCTCAAACAACTCCCCCATGACGTCCCAACCCAACCACTCCCACTCACCCTTTAACCACTCCCACCACTCCCCATCCCCCGCTCACCGTCCTGCCGCTGAGGGTGATCACGGTTGGTGTGGCACAGGATCTGCAGGTGCTCAAAGAACTCCCCCGTGAAGTCCCTCCGCCGCCTCGCCACCAGCCCTTCCAGCGCGCCCTCCGCCTCGTGCTCCTCCACCAATGAGAAGAGCTCGTTGTGTGCCGTCATTGAGTCGTCCACCTGGGGAAGGGCCGACAGGAGGGCAGCGGACCGAGAGCCTAGGGGTGAGCCTCTCTTCTCTCTGCCGCCACCACCCCCCTGAGAGCCGTGCCCCTGAGAGCCGTGCCCCTGAGAGCCGTGCCCTTGTCACTCGACTTCAACGATTTGAAGATTCCCCCACAGAGACAAGGAGGAGGCACAGCAGCTCACAGGCGAGCCTGCCACGCCAAGCCAGCAGCCCCTCACAGAGTCGTGCCAACCACGGGCTCACTGCGCCGCATCACTGGTTCCTCGTGCTTGCTTGCTTGCTCACTTGCTCACTTGCTCACTTGCTCACTTGCTCACTTGCTGACTTGCTGACTTGCTGGCTTGCTCCCTTGCTCACTTGCTCACTTGCTCACTTGCTTGCTTGCTCACTTGCTCACTTGCTCACTTGCTCACTTGCTCACTTGCTTGCTTGCTCACTTGCTCACTTGCTTACTTGCTTACTTGCTTGCTCGCTTGCTCGCTTGCTCCCTTGCTCACTTGCTCACTTGCTCACTTGCTCACTTGCTCACTTGCTTACTTGCTTGCTTGCTTGCTTGCTTGCTCACTTGCTTGCTTGCTTACTTGCTTGCTTGCTTGCTTGCTCACTTGCTTGCTTGCTCACTTGCTCACTTGCTTGCTTGCTCACTTGCTTGCTTGCTCACTTGCTCACTTGCTCACTTGCTTGCTTGCTCACTTGCTCACTTGCTTACTTGCTCACTTGCTTACTTGCTTACTTGCTTACTTGCTTACTTGCTAGCTTGCTCACTTGCTCACTTGCTTACTTGCTTACTTGCTTGCTCGCTTGCTCGCTTGCTCCCTTGCTCACTTGCTCACTTGCTCACTTGCTCACTTGCTCACTTGCTTACTTGCTTGCTTGCTTGCTTGCTTGCTCACTTGCTTGCTTGCTTACTTGCTTGCTTGCTTGCTTGCTCACTTGCTTGCTTGCTCACTTGCTCACTTGCTTGCTTGCTCACTTGCTTGCTTGCTCACTTGCTCACTTGCTCACTTGCTCACTTGCTCACTTGCTGACTTGCTGACTTGCTGGCTTGCTCCCTTGCTCACTTGCTCACTTGCTCACTTGCTTGCTTGCTCACTTGCTCACTTGCTCACTTGCTCACTTGCTCACTTGCTTGCTTGCTCACTTGCTCACTTGCTCACTTGCTTACTTGCTTGCTCGCTTGCTCGCTTGCTCCCTTGCTCACTTGCTCACTTGCTCACTTGCTCACTTGCTCACTTGCTTACTTGCTTGCTTGCTTGCTTGCTTGCTCACTTGCTTGCTTGCTTACTTGCTTGCTTGCTTGCTTGCTCACTTGCTTGCTTGCTCACTTGCTCACTTGCTTGCTTGCTCACTTGCTTGCTTGCTCACTTGCTCACTTGCTCACTTGCTTGCTTGCTCACTTGCTCACTTGCTTACTTGCTCACTTGCTTACTTGCTTACTTGCTTACTTGCTTACTTGCTAGCTTGCTCACTTGCTCACTTGCTTACTTGCTTACTTGCTTGCTCGCTTGCTCGCTTGCTCCCTTGCTCACTTGCTCACTTGCTCACTTGCTCACTTGCTCACTTGCTTACTTGCTTGCTTGCTTGCTTGCTTGCTCACTTGCTTGCTTGCTTACTTGCTTGCTTGCTTGCTTGCTCACTTGCTTGCTTGCTCACTTGCTCACTTGCTTGCTTGCTCACTTGCTTGCTTGCTCACTTGCTCACTTGCTCACTTGCTTGCTTGCTCACTTGCTCACTTGCTTACTTGCTCACTTGCTTACTTGCTTACTTGCTTACTTGCTTACTTGCTAGCTTGCTCACTTGCTCACTTGCTTACTTGCTTACTTGCTTGCTCGCTTGCTCGCTTGCTCCCTTGCTCACTTGCTCACTTGCTCACTTGCTCACTTGCTCACTTGCTTACTTGCTTGCTTGCTTGCTTGCTTGCTCACTTGCTTGCTTGCTTACTTGCTTGCTTGCTTGCTTGCTCACTTGCTTGCTTGCTCACTTGCTCACTTGCTTGCTTGCTCACTTGCTTGCTTGCTCACTTGCTCACTTGCTCACTTGCTTGCTTGCTCACTTGCTCACTTGCTTACTTGCTCACTTGCTTACTTGCTTACTTGCTTACTTGCTTACTTGCTAGCTTGCTCACTTGCTCACTTGCTTACTTGCTTACTTGCTTGCTTGCTTACTTGCTTGCTTGCTCACTTGCTTACTTGCGTACTTGCTTGCTTGCCTGCTTGCTTACTTGCTTACTTGCTTACTTGCTTGCTTACTTGCTTGCTTGCTCACTTGCTCACTTGCTCACTTGCTCACTTGCTTACTTGCTTACTTGCTTACTTGCTTGCTTGCTTGCTTGCTCACTTGCTCACTTGCTTACTTGCTTACTTGCTTGCTTGCTTGCTTACTTGCTTGCTTACTTGCTTGCTTGCTCACTTTCTCACTTGCTTACTTGCTTACTTGCTTACTTGCTTACTTGCTTACTTGCTTGCTTGCTTACTTGCTTACTTGCTTACTTGCCTGCTTACTTGCTTGCTTGCTCACTTGCTCACTTGCTCACTTGCTTACTTGCTTACTTGCTTACTTGCTTGCTTGCTTACTTGCTTGCTTGCTTACTTGCTTGCTTGCTTGCTTACTTGCTTGCTTACTTGCTTGCTTGCTTACTTGCTTGCTTGCTTACTTATTTGCTTGCTTACTTGCTTGCCATAACACAACAATCCACTGACATGAATGATAAGATCAGCGCATTCACCTCACCAGCATGGTACGCTCATGGAGGCTCCGACAAGTGCAACCGCACCTGCATGCTCAACACCCCCGCAAGAATTCGAAGACCAAAACTCTACAGTCTCAACTTTAAACCCCATAACCCTTGCGCTTTGAACACCCCACTCCCAAACCCCTATCCGGGAGTCAAAAAACCCAAACCTCGCACAGCCCCACCTCTTTGAGCCTGCGCGCCAGGCGGTACAGTTCCGCGGCCTTGTCGGGCTTGCCCTGCTCCTCGAACTCGCGCGCGCGCAGCTTGGCGCGCGCAAAGAAGTGCGGGCGGATGCGCGCCCACTCGGCGCTGAAGGCGAGCAGCAGGCGCCACTGCGCGGGGTCGGGCTTCTCCACCCAGAACACGTCCACCAGCCGGTCGCACACGCGCGACATCTTAAAGCCCGCCTCCACCTCGGGATCCTCGTCGTCCCCCTCTTCTGATTCTTCTTTCCCTTCTTTCACTTCCTCCTCTCTCTTCTCCTCCTTATCCGCCTCCTTCTCTTGCTGCTCCGCGACCTCCGCTCTCGCCTGGTTCGGCAGTTTCTCTTCCCCTACCCTCCCACCCGCATCTCTCTCTCCCTCTGCCTCCCTCCCTTCCACTCTCTCCTCCTTCCGCAACGATCGCTCCTCGCCTGCTGCCGCCTGTAACGGTTTGAAAGTATCTATACTCGTTACAGATCCGGGATCGGGGAGTGCGCGTACGAGATGTAGGGGAGGCCGATGCGACGACGAGGCCGAAGGGATGGGAAGGGCACGAGCAAGCGTGGCGAAGGAATCTCTTAGGGGGGCACTCACTAACGAGGATCGAGTCTCCCTCGACCGGCTGCAAACATCACCCGGGCCTGAATCGGATAAGTCTAACGGACGTTGAGCGGAACGTAAACGGAATCCAGATGGACGAAATCCGGATAGACGGAATCCAGGCGGACAAGAACCTATGCTGACGTGTACAGCGCCAGCTGGCCTAAGCTGCTGCATGCGCTCCCGACTTCTACTCGAGTTCGCGATCGCGTTCGCTGCGCTTCCCCACAGTGCTGGAGCCCGATAGGCTGAGAATCGTAGAGCGAAGTCGGTCGCCATCACTACGAAAAGGAAAAGACAGAACAGGAAAGAAGCGACGAGGCAACAAGGGAAATCAAGCGACGCGCGAAGCCGACGCGATGCGTGCACCGGCGGCGAGCGATCTGACGGCAGTCTCGAGCAATGTACAGAGTGAGCGCCGCAGCAGTAAACAGCCGTCCAAACGGAAGGTGGGATGATGGACGCTTGAGCAAGAAGTAATCGATTTGGTCAGGGGCAGGAGGGTCAAGTGTTGATCCGAACCGAACATTCCCAAGTTTTGATCTTCGTGGCGCTCACAGTAATTTGAAATGAATCTGTTTGAGAAAACAGTTGAGTGTAGTACAATGACAATAAGCTTGTTGGGTACAGTACATCATAGCAAAGTTGAAGAGGATTCATTCACTTCCATTTCCGGTTCAACGAGCAATGACATGATGATGCATAGCTAGCCATTTTGAACGGAATCAGCATCCGAAACATTGCGAACTATCAATCATTTAGAACTACGAACCAAAAACATCATCAAACTGAAAACAAATTGCTACCTACAGAGGTAGAGATTTGAGGGCTGGAACCGAAGACAACACAGAGAATGCAGTTGCTGCTCTCACGGAGCTGACAGGGCCATGCTTGCTTGCCAGGCTGCTGCTTACTAGCGTCAAATCACAGGAAATCCGCTTATCACACACTGTCAGCCACTGCCAGCCAGCCTGTCAGCACACCCCTAAGCCACCTTACCCCAGCAATGCTCGTTACACACTAATCTACTCTCCCTACTACCCTGACCTGCCACTTTCCACCCACGTCCCGAACCCAAGGTCACGATTCACAGATGTAAATCACGACGTGCTGTGGTCGGTCGGATTCCCCTTGCGCGCCCACGGGATTCCACGCGCTCTGCATGGCGCAGTTGTTCTCGAGCGACGCCACCTTCCCCCCGCTCGTGTACCGCGCCAGCAGCTGGCTGCTGCTTCCCCACAGCTGCTGCACCTGCGCGTGCCACGCGCCCCACTGCTGCTTCTGCTGCGCCGTCTTTCCGCCCTCCGCTTCCCCCCCCGCTTGCGCCTTTCCCCCGGCGGAGCTCTGGTGCTCGAGCTCCGCCATCTCTCCGCCGCTGCTCAGCGCCGGCTCGCTGCGCGTCGATATGCTTCGATCTGATAGGCTGCTGCTCTGGGTGCTGAGCGTCGGAAGGCTCTCGCGCGCGCTTCGGCTGCCAAAATACGAGCCGTTTAGGAGCTCGCTGGCAGCGCGAGGCATTTTGGGAACGTTGATGGACGGAAGCGTCATGATTGGTTGGCTGGACGGAAGGGTGAAGCGTTCGAGACGGTGATAAGCGAAGTGTACGCGGCTTGAAACGGGAAACAGTTTCTGCGAGAGTACGGTTCCTCACGAGCTTGCTTTGAAAGACAGTGTGCCTGTAACAAGATCGAGGGAAGGGAGAGAGGGGAGAGAATATTGAGTCGAGGAAGGGCGTGTGATGGCGGCCGCGAGTTTGACACTGGAGACTTAGCACGCGACGCTGCGTCGAGGGCCCGAAGAAACGCTGCGATACAATGCGACGCAATTTATGGCAATGCAAGAGGGAGAAATGCGGGAGAGGTCATCACGGCGTGCAACCACGCGCTGCATATGCCCTCGAATTGCCAAGCGACACCCAGGGACCGTCAGGAATACGAAAGAGGGCAGCATAAGAGAGCATTGCAGGCTGTTACCTGAACACTCGGAGATAACCAGAGGGACGTGGACGGCCTTAGGGTGTCGAGTTGCTGGCGTCACAGGTTATTGAAACATTGTGCGAAGAACACGGGTTCCCGACATTATCATGCTCCAGCAACTAAGTCTTCTTCAGTAACTATCTTAGCCTGTCCCTCGTGCCTGCTTCCCTCGCCTTCTTTTCCCCCCTTCTATCTCTACTCACCGGAGCGAAAACTACACAAACAAGTTTGCTGCTGACAGAGAGGCAGTCAAGTGAAAATAGTCTGTGGCTGTTTCGTTGACTTGGGATTGATTGACACACAGATGGATGGCCGGCTGCTGCTCTTGCTGATGGCCTCAGTTTTCCCGGTTGGTCTGTTTATGCGAAACCAGATTCCGTTGCGTCTCTGTCAAGCACCGTGCCCGAATCACCCGCCGAGCCTGCCAGGTCGCGGCGCGGGGAGCTGAGAGAAAGCAGAAGTTTGGGGGTGGAAGGCGTTCGGCTCGTTTGGCGAACCAGGGGCATGCCCGTGTGCCACCGAAGTTTTGGCGGCGAGTGGTAGCCACCCTACCTCAGGTTTGTCTCTATTTGATAAATCCTCTCGCATGGGAACATGCGATGCAACGACATTGCCTGACGAAGTTACCGCATGCACCGAGGGCTGGCCCAGTTCTTCGCCGGTTCGGTTACGTGCAGAAAGGCAGATTTGGGCCGCAAAGCTAGGCTCGGTTGGACTAGGCCTAGACCCAAGCAAGCGTCAAACAATACGAAGCGGTATCACTGGACCCGACCAATGTGTTGCCACCATGGCGACAACAGCACAGTGCCAAAAAGCAGCATGGCGCGGTGCGATCGGTCATCTCCGCCACAGCAGTTTCTTTTGCAAATAAAGGCCAAGCGACGATAAAAGAGTGTAAGAAAACTTCCCTTTCCTTACTTTGCAACCCTCTTAGGGCGTGTCTCCTTTTTGCCCTCGACAGTTCAAACCGTGGACCGTCTGGTTTGTGAAGCGGTTACATTTTTTGCAAACATTCGTGACCATCTTCGTGGAAGTACATGCAACATCGCCAACGGTTCAAACTGTCACGTCACTTTTTCCTCCAAGCAACGGTTCACATTGTGAACATTCGGCAGTTCGAAATGCAAACGGGCAGAAGAACAATGCTGACACAGGTACACGACACCCGTTTGAACAAGGTAAGGATACTACAGTACCTCTCGCGAGTCTACAGTACATCGGCAGTAAGTTGAGAAAAGTGACGCCTTCGCATTCGAACAGACTAACGTATTGAAATTTCAAAACGACGTCGCGGCGGTGTCATAGCTAGTCGAACCTACTCCTGAACTGATGTGAATGAGGTGGCAAAAATGTGTGGCATCTTCATACGGGTTTGCTAGTACCAAGTGCACCATTTAGGGAAATAATTATGTAACGGAAATTTCAAAACGGATTGTCCAGTACCTGATAGTGGGACCATCCGATTCAATACAAGTGGACAGTCCGAAAAAAACATGAAAAAAAAGGCACGCCCTTACCATGTACATGACTATTCCCGCCAAGAGTACCCAACAGTAATGTGAGAATTGAAATGAGAATGAATGGACTATGAATGAAATGGGTACAAGTACTAACCCTAATTGGGTTGTACCCCCTATGGGATACCCCACTATAGCCTACACAAAAGCATAAGCTATAATGTTCTGACACACCCCCATAGGCAAAGTGGGGGAGAACAGGGGGTCACAAGACCAGTCAAGCAAAGCAAAGCAAAGCAAGCTCAGGGTGGATCACAAAGTCACCACACAGTCCGAGCACAGGGTCAAGGCCACACGGTCAGTTCACATGCAAGAGTACACACATATATATAAAGCTAGACAAGCAAGAGCAGGTATATATATATGTGAGAGTACAAGCAAGGTCAAGAGGAGAGCAAGTGAAGCAAGACGGGCACAAGACCCAGCTGAGTGCAGAAGCGCTGATGATCACAAGGCGGAAGTGCCTTGGTGAAGACATCAGCAGTGTTGGCCTCAGAGGCCACGTACGCAAGCCGCAACTGTCCACGCTGCTGTAGCTCACGAGCAAGGAAGTAGCGGAGAGCAATGTGCTTTGTTCTGTGCTCCAGTCGCTGCTCTCGACACAAGGCCAGCATGGCCTTGTTGTCTACGTACAAGACTGGAGGAGAACAAGGCGGCTCTCCAAGGTCGGTCAGCAGGTAGGTGAGCCAGCGAAGCTCCTGTGCAGCCATGGCCCCGGCGTAGATCTCAGCCTCACAACTGGAGCCAAGAACAGAAGACGAGCGAGTAGCCCGCCACGAAACAGAGCCGGAACCAAGGCTGAAGGTGTAACCCTGTGACGACCGCTGCGTAGCCTGGTCGTCAGCCCAAGAAGCGTCCGCGTGCCCAGTGAGGACCACTGTACTCCGCCCTCCAAGCACTAGCCCCATGCCCGACGTACTGCACAGGTAGCGCAACACCCTCTTCACTGCAGCCATGTGCTCTGGTCGGTGTCTCCCAGGAGCAGCATAGCGTGCGAGAATGCTAAGAGGGTATGCAAGGTCAGGTCGTGTGCAGGTCATCAGGTACATGAGGCAGCCAACAAGCTCTGGGTACGGGCCACTCGACTCTACGGACTCATCCGAAGGCAGAGCTGAGAGCGAGTGGCGAGTAGACAGAGGAGTGGCCTGAGGCGAGGCGTACGTGAAGCCGAAGCGCTGAAGGACCTGCTGCACCATGTGTGACTGAGTCAGGGTAATGGTGCGGCGTGCTCTGTCCCGGGTGATCTGCAAGCCAAGGTAGCTGCGCAGTTCACCCAGGTCTGTGCACGTGTGTCTCTTCTGCAGTTCGGACTTCACGTAGGCGAGTCCAGCAGTGTCAGCTGTGGCAAAGACCAAGTCGTCGACGTACACGAGGATGTAGAACGGCGGCAAAGAGGTGTCAGTGCGCAGAAACAGCGACGGGTCGGCAGTAGAAGGAGCAAACCCAAGAGCCGCAAGTGTAGTCCTCAGTGTGTCGTGCCACTCACGTGGCGCCTGGCGGAGACCGTAGACTGGACGCCGGAGACTCCACTGGGTACCAGGAGGGAAAGACCCAGTGAAGCCAGGTGGGCGACACAGCCAGATCTCCTCGTGCAGGCTGCCCTGCAAGAAAGCTGTGCTGAAGTCAAGAGAGTGCAGCTCGTAGTCACGGTGAGTAGCAACGTGCAGCAGTACCCAAAGAGTGGTCATCTTCGGGGTGGGTGAGAAGGTCTGAAAGTAGTCAACTCCCTGCCGCTGACTGAAGCCACGAGCCACGTAACGCGCCTTGAAGACAGGCGGAGAACCCGGCGGCCGCTTCACCCTGAAGATCCACATGCCACTGACGATGTTCGCCCTAGGAGGGGGGACAGCGTCCACGTAGGTGCCTGTGGACTTCCAGGAAGCCATCTCTGCATCCATAGCTGCCTGCCACTGAGAGGAGTAGGGACCCTCTATCGCCTCTGCGTAAGAGCGCGGAGTCGGGATGTCAAGTGCATCCGGGTCTCCCTCAGGGGTAAGCAGTACGGACACGAGATGAGGTGAAGCAGCTGCCAGACACAGGAACTCCTCCTGCCTGTCCTCAAGGACGACCGTGCCAAGGGCACACTCACCCCCGACGGACGGAGGACAGACAGACTCAGACTCAGCGACAAGACTAGTAGCGTAGTCTAAGCGACAGCGAGCAGCAAAGTCGAGGAGCTCAGTAACGAGAGCAGACGCAGCAGTAGACTCGAAAGAAGGGTCAGTGACGACAGTAGCAAGGAGACGCGTGACAGTAGGACTGGCAGCACGAAGAGAGTCCGACTCCGGGTCGGCAAGAGCAGGAAGAGAGGACTCAGGAGGAGAAGGCAAAGGGGCACGCAGAGGAGCAGTGGACGGACGCAGAGACATCCGGTGCGTGCCAGGGACAGGAGGAGGACGCTGACGCGAACCGCGACCACTAGTGCGAGTAGCACGGACAGGCGACGCAGGGCGAGACGCAGGCTCACGACGCTCAGCCTGACCTCCAGTAGGACCAGTGTAGGGAGAAGGAGCAGGCAAAGGGGAGGTAGTGTCACAGAATGTATTGTTGTTTGCAATAGATTCAGTTACTTGCTAGTGTAGGTGTAGTTGGGTTATTCGAAGTACTGTAGAAGGTGAGTTTGGGGCGTGGGGATTGACGCAAAGTGGTGATTCAGGGACTTGCGAGGCGCAGGGTGGGACAAATTCAAGGGCGAGCCCTGGGCAATCTGAAAGGCCAATCCTAAAGCCTAGCGGGCGGAGCCCAATGTGAGTTACGGGAAACTGCGCGGCACGGGGTAGAGATTCAAATAGACTAGGAACTCACTGCTTAGTTCGTTCTCTCGTTTGTTTGCCTAAAATAGTGGATTTACGTTGCCGTTCTAACGCTACAGCAGCTAGGTGACTAGGCCACTGAGGGCAGCCATCGTGTGGGAGCCAGAGTCTCTCACAAACGAGAGAACGAATTGGCAGTATGGACTGCCACGAGCTGCGCTGGCAGCGAACGTATTCGCGTCGGGAAATTCCGCCGTCGCGACGGATGCGCTCACAGGAGCGGGAACGATCGCCAGATCGCT